TTTTTTTTTTTTTTTTTTTTTTTTTTTTTTTTTTTTTTTGTTTACTGTTAACAATGTCTTTTGCATCAAATAAAAAGGTCTGCATTGTCTTCTGGATCCATCCTGATCGAAATATTGTAGTGTCATGGAACTTGCTGTCAAGTCTTTAAATAAGTGCTCACTTTTTGTTTCCTTATCATCTCCAAAAGTTGATGTTAATATGTTTCCATAAGTAACAATTCTCAACTCTGTATTTGGAGCCAAAGGGATCGAACATAGAAGCTAGTAGAATAGTAGTACACGACACTCGACGTTTCTTTAAGAAAGATCTGGAGCAGAGAGTCCGAACAGTTCTCCTAATTTTCATTTGATTGTTGTTGCAGGCTGCAGATCAAAGCTTCCAAGCAGGATTAAGCACAGGCACACAAGGTCAGTATGCACCTACATTTGCTGGAGGGCAGCCACGACCTACAGGCCAACCTGTGCCCCTTGGTGGCGGTCTTGACATGCAGGGCTATGGGCTTGACGATGAGGAAATGTTGAGGCTTAGAGCGGAGAGAGGTGGAAGGGCCGGTGGGTGGAGTGTAGAGTTCAGCAGAAAGCGTGCACTTGAAGAAGCGTTTGGAAGTATTTGGATCTGCTAACTTACATTTTTACAAAGGCAATCGGATTTTGGCACTTGAGTCCGAATGGTAAACGATTAATTGTGCACGTTTAATTCTTATTTAGTATTAACTGGATTATAATATTAATTGTCTGTAGATATACCAGTGGGTAGAGACGAGCTTTGGTGAATGCGACTGGTAAATTACTGGTCTGGTCTGATATTTAGTCCTTAAACTTTAAAAAGTATTTAAGAATAAAGGTTTATAGTTTGTGGTCAATTGACTGTGAACCTATTTTTACATGTGAAGCATTCTTTCTACGTGCTACAAATTCCAGAATTCCCATTCCCCATACTATCCAAAGACCCAGAAAGTTAGCTTGCAATCAATTATCTTCATCTTCATCACCATCTGAAATGTTAAACAAGAACTTCGGAAGCGATGCAATTCGAGGAAGATGCAACAGCAAGTCTGCAAATGAATCTTTTCTTGACATAGCTGAGGGTTGCATGCTTCCAGAAACATCCTTTGTTTCTTTTGGATGAATCTTAATATGGCTTTCCGAATTCCTGCCGTCCCTCAGCTGAACATCCTCTTTGTAATCGAGTCCTTCAACACCGCTGGTTGGAAAACTTTGAACTACCGGAGGTTCTTTCTGCAATAGGCAGCAGAGAGAATCGACTCTTGACATGAGTGATGCCTCATCAGAAGCTGCTGACAATTGATTGTCACTCAGCAAGTAACGTGTAATTTCATTCAGCATTTCTTGGCATTCGGAACCATCATCAACAAAAGGTGACTTTGTAAAAGTCGTTTGTTCTGAAATATGCTGTTCAATATGGTTTACGAGGTCACTCATTGACATGGATGGTTGAAGCCCCGAAACCTTTATCTGCTCCCACTTCCTTGCCATGCTGCTAACTTTAGTAATGCTTCTATTTTCTTCCATCTCATGAACTACAGATCGATTGTCATTCACTGGTTGCTCCAAACCACGGACGCTGGATTGCTCGAACGCCGTAAAACCAGAGGCTGTTGGTTCAAAATATGGAGAACCGAACACAATCTCTGGTTGTCGGCTTAAGAAGTTTAGGCGTGAGTCACATTGGATGAGCTTTTCAAAATGCTTGTTTAGATACCCTTGAGGGCATTGCAGAAAATGCTGCCTATACACCACAGGTCAAATTTACATAAATTTCCCAACGCCGAGGAAAAATAAAGCGAGAAATGAAGATTTACCTCTGCATGCTGGCCTCACCACCCGTAAAGTCAGCTGTTGCCTGCCACAACGTGTGCTTTCTTGGTTGTGGGTTGGTCTCCCTGAAGAAAAGAGGGCGTCTAGCCAGCTGCTCCAACCAAGCACATAAATACATCAATAAATCACCAAACACAAAGTAGCTGAAGGGAAAATCTATAAAGAATGAGTCAATACCACAACATTTAGTGTAGCAGGACCATCATCTGGACAATTGGCTTTTAAAGCCATAATATCTGACCATTGCACCTCTATTTTACTTTTAAGCCCACCCACAAGGATTTCCCAAACAAGCTTGTGCTTAGCATAGTAACACTTGGCCACCAGATCACCTTCATGTCTGGACTTATACTGCCATCATAACATGACAATGAGTCAGCTCACACATCTTTGCAAACCCAAAAATAGTACCATAGAATTCAATAAAGACCTCCCAACGTCCAATCTTTAAAAGTGAGGCTGGGAAGTTTGAAGCCTTTAGTTTCTCAGTGGTACCCGACATGGTAACGATCTCGGTTTCCTTTTCAACAATGAAGTCAAAAGTTTCAGAGTTTGAATCTCCAGCTGTTGACGTAATCCCCTGTGAGAGTTTCATTTGAATTAGATCCAACAGGGAGGGGGTCTTCCTAAGCGTCAAACCAAGAGGGCTATGCTCATCAAGCGGATTATTCTGTGAAGAGGTTGCAGGTAATGTGTTAGGTCCCGAAATTGACTGAAAATCCACAGACAAAATCAAGAACTATGCCATAAACTTAGCCAAACAAATCAGAATTTCATTAAACAAATTCAACTCAGAAAAACATATCAGAGGCAGAACGAAACAGAGGAAATACCTTTTGAAAATCAGGCTTGAAGCGCTTGTCCAAGTGATCATGGTGGTGGTGAAAAGAATCATCGCACTCACGCTTCACCACTAACTTCTCCGGATACAAAGTCATCTTGGGATCCACAAATTGCACCATAGAAGAAAGGAGAGAAGTTAAAGAACCCTAGAATTAAATGAGGAGGAGGAGGAGGAGGAGGAAAGCTGAACTTGGCATCGGCGCTTGGTGGCGAAGGAGACCGATTGTACCAACACGTGCAGAATTTAAACTCCCACGTACAGAGACAAACAAGTCAAATAGGATGTGAAGTTACGGAAGTAGGGTTGGTATATTAGAAGAAGTTTTGGGGAAGGTAGGGGTATGGATGTAAATTAAGGGTGGCCTTGACTCTTGATGCTATGTTTGGATTGCGTAAACAAAAAATAACGGCGACGGCTGGTGGCTGGTAGCTGGTGGCTGGTTTTTTTAAGCTTTGTTAGGTAATGGGCGGCCGGAGTTCTTGCCTTTTCTACGTCAACGGCTGACGCGGGAGCTCCATTTATTTATGGTCTCCTCTCCAATCATTTTAGATTCTCTCTCTTTTTAAACTCAATAATTACCAAATAATTATGATCTAACTGCCTCTGTTTTAAATTAACATATCATATTATAAGTCACAAAAAAGTCAAATCCCTGAGCAAACAAAATTGGGATATGGTTGACTAGATCACAAAAAAGTCAATTCCCTGAGCAAACAGAAGTGCAATTGCCATTTAGCTACGGAGTTATATTTTTATATGTTGAGATACAACTGATCAAACAGGTTAGACATATTCGACAAGGACAAAATGATCGTGATTTACAGAGAAGATGACTTCGGTTTTATAGCCCAAGAAGATTAGCAAAAAGAGACGAGAGGAAGAGAATTAAAAGAAAGCACCATTATGAACTGATGGTATAAACTAGAGAAATAATATTCAAAAGCAATCAAACTTAGCTCTTTGAGGAGTTCTGGAAAATTGAAAATCATTTGGTTACAATTACAAATGAACTAAGTAGAGCCAAGATCTAATGGGGTGAGGTGATGGCCTCTACTGCGCTTGCCTGTTCACCTTCAGGTATGGCAAAGCACCGATCACATTATCGTAGTCACTTCGGCTAACTGGGTGCTGTGTTGAAACAAAAGCCAATCAAAGACAACACTCAGTAAACATAACAACAAGATATGCGACTGCATGAGCACTACCAATTTGCCTCACACAGCAAGAGCAACACACCAGAATTCTGGTATCATTTTATTTTTTGGCAAACAATGAATTTCATCCTCTTCCAGTACTAGAAATTTTCCCAACATCAAGTCACTTAGTTCATAATCACAAAATCTTATAAATAAATATTATTGATAAAAGAATTGCTAGGTGAAGCACTTTATTGCTCTAACAGTTCATTAAACATAAGCTACATGATATAAATGCAAAAGATCTATGGGCTTAATGGGTAAGCCTTAAACTTACACCTAGAAAAAGACAAAAAGTCGGGACGAGGCTGTAACAATCTAGATGGAGTCAAATTTAAACAAAAAAACTTCTTTTTGATGTTTCCATAAACATCTATAGAGTTGGCCTACGACTAAAAGAAATCAGTCCGGGGAAGTGTCAGCTAATCCCCAAATAGGAATCACTCTGCTTAAGGTTGGGAAAGGGAGAACTATCAAAAGGCTATGAAAAAAGAGACTACCCTTCAAATCCTCCTTGCATTCTAGCTATTAATAACAAATTGAGAAGTACAAAATTAAAATCTACCCGCAGGGAAAGAAAAATGCTAGGGGGAAATCAAGTTCTCTTGACCAGTTGGTCATCATTTTATGACCAGTTTTTTCCTAAATGAGCTCTACGATAGCAGTGGGATTGGGATTGTTGTGTGATTCTCTTAGACGTCACAAACCTCCACAATAATATGATGTTTTCCTAAAAAGCTTCGTACCAATAGAAATTGTGTTCCTTACTTATAAACTCATGATTTTCCTCTTATTTAGTTAATGTGGGACTACTACTCTCAATCATTCTCAACATATCCAGCCATGACAACTGGTTAATAACTTCACATTAGTTCATCCTTCCAAGACAAACTTAATTGAGTTGTGCATGTCATAAGTTAACAATATGATTGGGATAGAATCAACAGAAGAAAGAACTTCCAACTTCGGTAAAGATTATTTGTAGAACTGGATTGACAACTTGCATTCAAGAAATGAAGATTGATGGAATAAGGTGTCGAGAAATCATACTGATTGAAAATAGTGCCTGCATAGCCTTAACTTCTTATACATTTATACAAAACTTCTTCCAAAACCAAAATCAAGGGTCCAAGTTTAGAAACGCAGCATTCAGATTCAGAGTCATGAACATAAAAATAATCAGGGAAGACATACCATTTTGGAAAGCCGTAATTTTCTCTTGGTGTTCTTCTTGTACAGCAAATGCTGCTTTCCTGCTCTCCTCCGAACAATTTTCCCCCGACCCGTCACCCTGAATCGCTTGGCCGAAGCCTATCCAGCAACACCAAACAATCAAATCAAAATCAAAAGAAGAAAATTCCAGTAGAAAGCAGAGGAAAGAGGCGCTTATTATTTGAAATAATAATAATATTGGCCCCTTCAGTAAGCGTCTAGAATTGGATATTTTAAACTCAGCCTGCGATTGTCAAATCTTACTGCAAATTCGAACGAAAAATAGCAACTAGACACATTAAAGCTATCCAGAAGAATGAAATTGACTTCAATTCAATCAAAATACAATCAGAATTGAACCATACAAGAATATCCCAAAATACACAGAGAAGAGAGGCATCGAGGAAACCTTGTGGGTTTTCATTTTGTAGCCTTTAGCAGCGACAACAGTCAGAGGAGTAGAAACTTGAGGACGGGGAGCGATTTGACATGACTTCTGAAGGAGAGCAACTCCAACCCCGGAAATGTTGTGAGAGGAACTGAGCCTCAACGAGTTCGCCTTATTGAACGAAGCGAGCCGGATGGAACTAAGAGAGACGTGAAATGATGGCCGAGAACACAGTGGCGTAAACCTAAGACCAAAGACCGCCGCCGTCGAAGCAGATGCCATCACTGAAGCTTCGAACCCTCTGGTCTTTCTTCTTCTTTCTGCCAATCTCTACGAGCCTTGGCCTCGGCCTGCTGTGGATAAAGTGAAGCGCTTTTATTTTTTCTTTTATCGATATATTTATTTATTTATTTATTTATTTATTTATTATTATTATTATTATGTAAGAAAAAAATTAGTCTCTAGCCATTAAAATGTTAAATCCATAAATCATAAACGACTTAGTTTTACTGATTAAAAATTAAAAGAAACATCTTTTCTTTCTGATGGTACTTAATTTAATTTTGAGAGCGGCGCGGACCACTGTGTTTGAGAGGTCTCATTGGGTTAGCGGGTGAAAGTAAGTCATCTTCGACCCTCCAAGTACTAGTAGCTAGACTCGTTTCAAAACAAGAAATGTAAAATCATTTTTTCCATGCACCCACGCTGGACAAGGTCGATCTCACATCTAAGATAGTGGCTAACCTTACTAAGTTCCTAGGGTCGTTCAACTCCTATCAAAACCTCAGTCAACAACTGGGATCTCACCCATTAAAGTTTTGCACCTTGATCCATCCCCTGAATGCAGCAGCTACATTCAAATTGTGAGCGAATGGGAGTGCGGACCTGTTTGTGACACCAGTAGAAAAGGGTATATAAAGTTTCAAAAGTAGTGAAAGGAAAGCCTAGGATGATCATAGATAGTCCTACTCTTTTATTGTCATAATAGCTAATACAATCCTTTTGTAGTGAAGAGTGGGCATGGAATCCTTTTGCCCAAACTTGATAATCGACAAAGAGGAAAGGAATATTCTAAAAGAATTCCTACCGCCCAGAATGTGAAAAAAGATGTGGCTCTAATTGACTTCACCCACCATTTATTTCAGATTTTCCATAATCGCCGCATGTGATAGGGAATGCCGATCGCAGATTCAAGTTTTATCTTCACGGGCCTCTCTGCCCTACCTCATCCCCTACTTCTCAGCAACAACAATGCCAGAAAATTCGGGACCACATCGGCAAAACGAACCGGCGATTCCGATTCCATTTCATCGACGCAACTCAAATTTCCATCGCTGAGAGTTGCAAATCCACTTCTCGCCCGATCTGTCGTTGCGGTACTCGGATTAGGGTTCGTCGATGCAGGGTATGAAAATTTAGTTTCGTCTTCGTTTCCACTTGAATTGAAGTTGAATTAGGGCTTGAAATGATCAGGTACAGTGGCGATTGGTCTAGAATTGGCGCCATTACCAAGGAAACTGAAGATTTGTTGAAGATTGGAGCTTTCTTGGTGGTTCCCTTCTGCGTATTTCTGATTTTTTCTTTCTCCGAACAGACGGATTCTTCCTGAGTGTACGGACGATGCATCGCGTAGGTTTTATGCATTTTCGATCCATTTTAAATTATAATTTACCATATATATCATATTTAATATATTTTATTATAAGATAAATAGTTAAATATTTACTTTTCTTTATTTAGATATCTTTCCATTTATTTTCATTTTCATCTATTACTATTTTCATATCCTTTTAATTTATTTATTAATTTTTTCTTTCACTCTCTCAAAATTTTATTTCCATTTCATATAAAAAGCCTTTACAACCAATTCTTGAAATTTGTTTTTTATCCCATAATAACAATAAAATGATGAAATATGAAATGTTATCTTAAAATAACACGGACAAAATATTTAAAATTATATTAGTTTAAATTTATTCAGATTTATCAAGTATAAACAACTAATAATCACAATTTAAAATTACACATTTAGCTTAAAAATGGTATCGTATCTTATACAACATACCTAAAATAAATTAACGTGAAAGGTAGGAGAGCTAAATTATAAACATCAAATATAAAGACTCATACCATGCCTAGATTAAAATCAGCACCAAAACTTCTAAATTACAATAAATAAATGAAAAATAGAAATATTACATCACCTAAAGACTTGAATTACATTGGAGAGGAAAGTTGTATTTGTAAAAGGCCTTAAATGCTGCAACGTTGCATTATTGAATGGAAAAATAAAAATGAAGAGAAAAGGACCTTATAATGTGGCATTGCTCCAATATGTAGAGTCCAAAATGGTAGGTTCTCGTAACCCTCTCATTTCCACTTTCCATTTACCTAATAACAATAACAAAAATGATACACACCACCATGGTATTTATTGTCATGATCATGCTTGTCCAACTCGAAGTTTCATTTCATTTTTCTCAATAGAATTAAGAAAACGTTGAATCAAATACCTACCGACCTTTATTTGGTTGTGAGTATGCAAGGTGCATGTCCATATGTACTTGGCTCAACTTAGCCTAGTCCATACGACCTTGATTGGGTTGTGAGAATTATGTATAGTAGATCATTTATCTTTTTTTCGTTGAAACATCTTCCAAGGCTAAAACAAAACAACTTAGAAAAACGAAAAAAAGAGGATGGCAAACAGAGATGAACTTGGTGAGGGAATTACAATATGTGGAGTTGGAAAAGTGTATTAAGTCATTTTAAATTTAAGTTAAAAAAAAAAAAAAAAAAAAAAAAGAGTTAAATATTTATGTTGGGCCATGGAAGATTTTGGTGGCACTTGGAAATGAAGAGCGATGAGGCGGAAACAGGGGAAGGAAAAAACGAGAGGCCCCAAATCGCTAGCCTTTTGCAGCTCAAGTTGTTTTAGTGTCCCCAACACATAGCCTTCCCCTCTCCCTCTTACCTTATCCTATCCCACTCCTCTCTTCTCTCTCTTTAAAATTCTCGATAACACTCTGTAACACAGCATCCACCCTCCTTTCTCTTCTTCTTTAAAACCCCCTTTCACTCTCCAATTCTCTCACCCCTTTACAATTTCATTTACTTCTGTTTCTGGGTAACCCAAGATGGCTCCCAAAGCAGGAAAGACAAAGCCCCATAAGCCTAAAGGAGAGAAGAAAAAGAAAGAAGAGAAAGGTTCGAACTCCGGAACTCTCTCTCTCACTCTTTTTCTATCTATTTCTCTGTTTTCTGTTCTTTGGTAATTCTGTTTGGATGCCCAGAAACTGGGTGGGAAAGTTTCTGGGTTTTTAATCCCAAATAATCGGGATTTCCATTCAAGGATGTGTTTGGGAGTTGGCTGAGTTTTGGGCATTGTGTCGGAATCAAATATGTGGCTGATATTTTGAGCTATATCTTCTTCTTCTGCCTTTTATTGTTTTTTTTTCTTTCCAGTTTTGCCCACTGTTGTTGAACTCACCGTAGAAACTCCACACGATTCGCAAGTGACTCTTAAGGTAAATTCCCTATTTCTTTCATTTTTATTTTTGTCTTCAATTATCCAGCTCTTCCTTTGAACCAAATTTTCAAATTTAAATTGAGTTTATCCATTAAGTTATTTGTGTTTTATTTTCTTCTTGTTGTTGGGCTAAATTATAAGTGGTAGTATTTTACAAATTTTTCAAAGTTGTCATTTAAGTAAAAATGGCTAGAATTGAACAAAAAGTCCAAGTATTTAAATGTGTTTTTTTGTTTTCTTTAATTCATACGAACATCTTAGTCACCATTACACTGCTTAATGTCATCTTCGTGTCAACTTTTCATTTACATTCGAATGAATTTATAATTATAGATGGAAGTTAAAAAAAAAAAAAATGATGGGTATTTTTTATAATTATTTTTAAAATACTATAGATCATTCTTTTAAGACTAGTGTTTTATTATTTGAATTTAGGTAATATGCGGAAGGTTTTTTAGATAAATAAAATTCTAGTTATTTTTTTAAATTAACAATTATCGAAGATAATAATTAATGTCTTAATTTATTCAATTATGTTTGAATTAGTAGGTGTGATCTAACATACTTCCTACACAACTTTATCTCATTATAATCACCGCCCTAATAAGTAATAGTTCTAACTTGAAATTAGATCACAACTTTTTACCTCCCTCGAATTAACTCTAATTAAAAGTAAATTTTTGTTAACCATTTTTGGGTACCTAATAACTTAACGACTCATTTTGAGATTGAAAATAAGGCAACTTTTTAGAAGCCAAATGGTGTGTAATTTAATTTTCTTTTAAGGAAGTTTAATAATTCAAATGTCGATGTGAAATACAAAATAATAAGACTGAAGGTAGATGACTGACTACATTTATATTTATTCATTTTTTCTCCAACATTTATAGTACTTTTAAATGCTTCCTTTAAATGGTTACCTTTTTTAAACCAATTTATTTCAATAAATAAAATACAAAGAATAAATTAAAGGAAATTAAAATGGAGTACTTGCCCACCTACTATTTTAAATAAGGCTTTTTTTAAAAAATCGAATATTTATCCGTTATTTTTTTTAGATATATAAGTATTTAAATGTTAACGTTGGTGGATATATTATAAATAAAATTGAAATTTAGGGAGATATTAAATTGAAAGTGGGAATTGAATTAAATTTGTAGGGAATATCAACAGACAGGATCTTGGATGCGAGGAAGCTCTTAGGAGTACACGTGGAGACATGTCATTTAACCAACTTCACGTTGTCTCATGAGGTACACTTTCTTTTCCCTTGTACTTCTTCAAACCAAGGCGTGGGCCCCACTAATTTTACGCTCTTTCATCTTCACCGTTGGATGCATTGACTTTTACTTTTTTTTTTTCTCTTCCGTTTTGGAAACGGTCGCTTTTAATTTTTGGTGTGAGTGCATCATTATCGGAATCTGACGGCTGGTAGTGGACACGGTTTATACATGTGGGGGATGGATGGATGATGTTGTCGAGTGATGGAAAAACATTGCCTTTTCTTTTTAAACAGAAAACTTCATGGCCTATTTTTTTCAAAAATCAACCCACACTACTACTACAACTAATAATAATGAATTTTAAACCTTGAATTTCCCTTTTAATTTCTTCACATGGAATTAATGTATATGAAAATTTTAAAAATAGATTAAACTAAAATAAAATAATTACCAAACTTAATTTAAGTTTAATTTATACTTGATTAAGGCGGAGGAATAATTTAAATTTCAAATTCGTCAAATTTATTGCATGAATATTCAAATTTTTAACATTAGTTTAATTTTAGTCGCAATGTCTTATTTAATAAATTGATTTGAGTTTGAATTTAGTACTAAAAAATAATCATCTCATATGGATGGAACAAAATAATAATAATAATTTTACAAATCCTTATTCTATAGGAAGGGTGGAAATTTGGGTTCCTTTAATAATTATTTGACTTAAGCATATGAACATTACTTTATTCTATAATTTTATTTATTTTGGTGTTTTTTTTTTAAATCCATAAAATTTTGAAAAGTAAAAAAATTAGTTTATTGTGTTTTACTTTTTTTTAATTTAATAAAAATTATAATGTTTTACATCTGTGTTAAAGCAAATCTAATTTATTTAAAAACAATTAAAACTAAAAAATTATCGGGAAAACATTAAAATTATCGTGATCACATTTGTAAATCAATGGTCGATTTTAATTGATTTTTTTAAAATATTATTTTTGCAAATATTGAAAACGTGGAAATTTAGTAAAAGAAAAAAAAACGACTTTCAAATGAATTATTAGCACATGATTTTTCACGTGTAAATTGAAATATATATTTTAATTTATAAAAAACGAATATAATTTTAGTTTTTGTCTGAACCAACCACCTCTGATAAAAATACAATCGCAGAGAGAAAAAAAAAGATTTCCCGCGCAAAAGAGTAACGAATAACGGTAAACGGTAAAGGTATTTTATTTATTTATTTATTTATAAAATTTTCAGGTTCGAGGCTCTAGACTAAAAGATTCGGTGGACATCATCTCTCTAAAACCATGCCACGTCACAATCGTTCAAGGTAAACCTGACCCCATATTAAAAAAAGGAAAAGAATCCAACGGACCAGAATTTTGTAGTCGGGTCTGTTATCGTACATATTGCCGCACCTTAATATTCCTCCCTCTCCTCCCAAATATTAAATTTCCAGTGTTGGTATTTTGGCAGAGGACTACACAGAAGAACTCGCCGTCGCACACATCCGGCGACTGCTGGACATTGTCGCTTGCACCACCTCCTTCGGCGGGTCCTCCAATTCCCCCAAGTCTTCGGCTCGAACCAGTCCCAAGGACATTGGCTCGAAAGAATCTTGTTTGACTGATTATGAGGCCAGTCCCGAAAGCGGCGGCGAACAGAGTACCAAACCTAAATTAGCGGGGACCGGAGACAAGAAAGCTGTCCCAGGCTCCCTCGGGGTTAAGGGATTCAAAAACCTGGACGGTCCGTACGATATTTCGGAGAAAGCTGATGGGTCCGTTTCAATGTGCCCACCGCCGCGGCTTGGCCAGTTTTACGAGTTCTTCTCCTTCTCTCATCTGACACCGCCACTTCAATGTGAGTTATATTTGTGTCTTCCGGATCTTAGATGATGAAAGTCC